TTTGGTAAAAAAAAAGTTTGGGGAAGGAGGAAGCAGGAAGGTTTGAGCAAATAGAGACTTCATACTGAAAGCATACTCAAAATATGAGCCCACCGAATTTCAGATGCAATGGAAACTTGCAATAACTGAAAATAGGGGGGGGGGGAAAAAATCTAAAAGAACATCTGCTTCTGTTTCTGCGTGGTTCAGTATTAGCCCTAAATCTCTACAGAGGTGTATCTACTTTGTTATTCCCAAAAAAAAAACAAGAAGAAGAAGAAGAAGAAAAAACAACTCTTAAAAGAACAAATTATTCAACTTATTTATGCATAAAAATTATCATCTGTAATTTAGTGCCGCCAGATCCTTTTAAGGACAAACTCAGATCTCTCTGAATAATTATGACATTTTATCTGAAATTTCACTTTCCAACAAGCTTTATCAGTTAATGAATGTTGACTACATATGACAATGTTTGAATTTCCATATTCTCTATTTGTATATCGTTTTATTGCTACAGTTGAGAGATACTTCTCACCTAAAGGAGCTACATAGGACTAGTGTCATAAGGGAGTCTTTCGCCTTTGACTACTCTACTCGCCTCACCTTCTAGAAACTTGCAAGTCAACCCAAACCAAAGACCGCCAGAGTTCAAAGAACTTGAGCTGTGTTAGTACAAACTCAATGCATACATCAAACTTATCTGACATTTACAGGACCGAGCACTAGAGGAAAAAAGTTAAATATTCACAAACCAAAGAAATATAACCAGAAGTACACACACATCCAACCAAGATAACCTCAATGACTCTCCTAATGTGATCAGATTCAAACATAAATCCAACCCAGATAGCCTCCATGACTCTCCTTGTTGGTAATGACCTACCTCAGCTTCGAAGTTCCTAAATATCTATGCATACTAAGAAAGCCTTACCAGTCTTTTGAGGGGTAGCAGCTTTTGCTTTCTTCGCAGGAACAGGAGTTTTCAGCGCAGATTCATTAGGTCTCTTCTTGGCATGATCGACCTTCAAGAAAAATTACTAAGGTCATGAATTGCAGACCAACTAACCAACAAAGATAATACCAACGCACGGCCCTTACCTTCTTAGGAGGGGTTTCATCATCATCTTCATCACTCTCACTCTCGTCACTACCATCAACATCACCACCCAAAATATCCTACAACAACATTACACAGACACGTTATATGCATGTTGTATGTGAATAAACCCTTCGTTTTTTTTTCTTTTCTTTTTTTCTTTTTTTTTTGGGTTGTTCTTTTGGAGGGGGGGGGCGTATGGCATGAAAAGCCAAACTTTGTAGTCTTTGAACCTCAAAGAACAAGTTTAACCGTAACTAGAGTAAAACTCCCAAAAGCACTTTCTGAAAACTATTGTTTCACCAGTTTCTGAATATGGGGCAGATGAAATACACCCCTAAAGCCTACCAAGTCAAACTGCCTTCAACCTTTGCAAAGGATTACATCCATAAGAATAATCTACATTTACAGTGAAGTATGAAAATATCACAACCACTAAAGTACCTCATCAGAACTGTCATCTTCATCATCTTCGTCATCTTCATCATCATCCTCTTCATCATCTGATTCATCTTCATCTTTCTTTGGATCCACAACCTTGACTTGCTTTTTTGAATCGGCAGGCTTAACATCATTACTTTTAGATGCAGCAGCCTTTGCTACTTCAGGCTTTATATCAAGTTTTGCTAAATAAAAACAATTATTAATCAGCCAAATAACCTACACGAATCTTGTTCAAGCAACACATTTGCCAACAAGAATTTAAGATTCAAGAAGCAATAATACCATTCTCTCTGGTCATCACTGGGTTACCCACATCATCTTCACTGTCTGGTCATGTGACACAAAACGCAAGAGTAAACAACTATCATATTCCAAGACCAAACAAAAAAAAAACAAAGAAATAAGTTTTAAGCCTCACCAGTCAGTTCCTCATCCATCTCCGTGCTACCGGAAATCAATCAAATGTTAAGGAAATATTAAAGTTGAAGAACATGTTAAGCATTGCGCAATTATGATTCATTAAATCAGCTTGCTTTAATATCAGCATAAAATCGCCATCACTACCGGAGGAAAATCCTAACGACAAAAATTAGTTGGCAACTAGTTGATACAACTACAAAGGATATCCTGGTAATTCGGCTTTGTAACCACAGAAATAAACACTTCCATTTTTCCAATTGTGAGAGAGCTCAAACTTTTTCTCTAGAACCAAATCAAAAGATAGTTGAGGGAATTTCTCTGGGGAAAGGGTTCCTAAAACAAGCTTCTGGTCATCAAACTTCAGATAAATGATCACAGGTTCACTTGATTTATTCTTTGCCTCACCAAGAGCAGCCTGCAAAGAGATAGATTAGAGATTTTGCATCGATAGTAAAAACATGAAATTAGTAAATGTGGCAAACAGAATAGCAAGCAATAAAAATTCTCACCTGAGACAGGTGTATGCATTTACCAAACTCATCTGGGTCTACTTCAACAGGTGTCCCACCCTTGACCTCAACGCCTATTGCCAAAATTAAAAAAAAAAAAAAGGAATATTGTATTAGCTAACATTGCAGTTACCAAACAATGTTGACACTGGAAGGGAACCTCTATTTCTTTCCTCATTACACATTCGAACACAGAACCTAATCCATTAAGCAAAATTCATTTAGTGACACTTCCACTTCACTCTCCATAAAACATAGCCCAAGGGAAACACTAACCACAACGTCGGGGAGACAAAGCTTATCAAGGAAAAGTGTCAACCACCCACAGCATTCGTACTCAAATTACTGGTAAAATGAATATTCCGAATAAAATCGGAAAGAATACACCAAACGAACAAACCCAGAGAAGAAACCACATTTTCGACAAAAAAAAAACGATGAAGTGAATAGATGATCACGCAAGTCGACAGAACAATGGGTCGAGAGGGGTATGATACTATACGTCGGGCAACGCAAGAGCAGAAGAATCCCGGTTCGCTCCAAGGATAATCAGTAATGAATTTATAAGAGACAAGAATAAATAATCAGATAGAGGATGAAACATTAAAAATGGGACAAGGAATACTAGAACATTTTCACGCAAACATTTCCGAGAAAATAAGCGAGGATGAAGGTGAATCTCACCCCAGAACTCCATTGCAGTAAAAAGGAAATGATTCGAGGACGAATAGGGTTTTCGGACCGAACCTGGCAAAGTGCAAATACACGATTGCAAACAGCTGATTCAGGCTTTTATAATTGTATTGCCGCCTTCTAGGGTTTTTTGTACTTACATGCACACACACCAGCAATTTTTTTTTAATAAAAAAAGGTTTGGGAAAGGGCTCAAAACGTAAAGTCATAAGAAGGATTAGAGATGGAAATTTTTATGTGTTTGTAATTATTTTATTTATTAGAATATTATAATATATAATTCTTCATGAATTGTGTAGTTTATAGTGTGTGCGTGTGATGTAAGTAAAATCATATAATTATCCATAAAGATTATGTTTTGTATGTTTTAATAAAAAGAATCATTGTATGTTATTAATTCAAGGATCCTATTAATTTATATAAAAATTTTTTGGGTACAAACTTTTTTTGGTTTACAATCACCATTTTTTTTTGTTGCCCACCCAGTTCATCGGAGCTTTGCTCCGACTACATCTAGATCCAACCCGCGTCGCGCACCTGATTGTGGTGGCTGAGTCTCCCAACAGGAATTTCTGCATATACTAAGGCTCGAATTCAAGACCTCGCTTAAGCGGTACCAAGCTGTTTTCCACTTGGACCAACCTCCGTTGGTTACAACCACCATATTCTTTCTGCCTGTTTGGGTTTGGATTCCTCTTGAGCTTCCAAAGAACACGAGATTGGGCCTTCCTCGTCTTTACGTGAGGCCTTCTGTGAGGGGAACAACAAAAGTAGACCCAAAAAAAAAATGTTGCATACAAATTTTTGAGCAATCTTTCATATTTTGTTCGTTGTTTCCTCATCACTGTCCGCCCCGGGCCCCATCGCCCTCATCGCCCAGGATTCCTCGTGGCAAGAACAGAAACCAATGTAGACAGCAGAGAATGAAGAAAGCTCTTGAACGGAACTCCATGAGCTTGGTATCCATATAAACTTTTCTTGCTAGCTATGTTTGACACGTGAAATTTTAGCAGGTTATTAGAAAATACTGAAAATTAATGAAACTGACTTTCACGCATTCACCACAGAATAATTGAAAAAAGCAGAAATTTTTTAAGTAATAGTATTGTTTTGTAGGTATGAAATGGTGGGCGAGAGGGATAAGCTTCTGGACGGTGCTGGGCTTGGGGCTGATACTTGGACCGAGGGACGCTGACAAGGAGGAATGCAATAATTCGAGGCGAAGACAGTGCCAAGTTTAATGAGCTGAGCTCAGAGCCTGGGACCACCTTTTGGATCGTCCACAATATTCATGTTTCTGGAAATCTCCACGTTTATTTTTTCAATAAAAATTGCCACTGGCACTCCAAGAAAATTTGCAATTTATCAGACTGAGAACCGTTTTCGTTTTGGTAAAAGGAAGAGATGGGGTCTGAATTACACAGCATCAAAACGAACTGTGTCCCTCAAAAGAATAGCAGAACTAACTGGGAAACAAAGGCAATATGTTTAATGGGATATGAGATATTGTATGATCAAGGCAATAGGTTTCACGGGGAGATCAGACTTTGTACTCTCGGTTTTCATCCCAGAAGAAGAGAAAAGAAAAATCAGACTGGGCTGATGATTTGACGAAATGAAGGGCCATATGGTCTCTTTGGCTCCTTTCTCCCATTGGCATTTGGCACTGAGTTACAGAGGTGTGAAAGATGAAAGATAAAGGGCACCATATACATCCGCGTGGAATTTGGTGAAAAAGCGAAGCGATGTTTCCCGCATAACTTCCCCGTCTGATTGCGCGGCACAACCACAACGTCATTTTCTAATTAAACACCTTTTAATTCCCCGTCTGATTGCGTGATTCAAACTCGCAGTAATAAAAGGGAAGGCAAAGACTCATCAAGTTGCATGAACTGTAATCAAATTTCTTGACAAGGACGAATGGACATATTAGAAACAGAGGGACGAACAAATATTAAATCACGTGCAGGGTAATTGCTCCCTGCATTTTCCCAACAGCTTCATATGGGACCTATATGTACAGAACAATTGTCGCTGACCAGAACAGAGGTTGCTGGCCAGTTGAAACGAACCCAATTCATCTCACAGCATGAAATCCAAGAACTTGAGCCAGGCGAACCCACTCTTGCCTACTTTCTCCGCCTGCTTCGAACACCGTCCTACCGCCGTCGTCATGCTTCCGCCTTCCCCGGCGCCTCCCTCCGCCGTCTCCGACTTCTGCTTTCTCGGGCACAGCAAAAAATTCCTTGACCCGAGCTCCATCACCTTCTCCTCTCTGTCCACGCCTGCACCCACACGCCATATCAGAACCATAATTAAATCGCCTCATATCCCCTCATCTCAAATTTTAATTTCACACGAAAAGATGCACAAATCCGAAAACCTTTAATTTACATGCACGCCAGCGATGATTTTTAGTTTTAAAAATAATAAATTATTAATTTCTAAAAAAGTAAAAAAAGGATTCATATACATCAAAATATTTCAAGTACGTTAAAAAGTAAACTAAGACGACAGATAGTATTGAAGAAATTTAAATACGTCCCCTTTTCTCTTTTAAGCATGAGAATTCTTCAGTATGAGACTCTGAATTAATGAAACCATATGAAATAACGCTTAAAAACCCAATGAGAGAGAGATTCTTATCGCGAGACTCACTTTCTAAGCTGAACTGCGAATAATGGAGGTCAAAGGCGGAGGGGTCGGTGGAGGGCAAGATCGGCCGGCGACCTTCTTTCAGGTACTGTCGGACCGACGCCGCCACCAAATCACCCACTTTAGAATCTGGCGTCATCACGACCTTAACCGGTCCCAGGCTGCCTAGAAAAGTCACGTGAAGCAGCAGCTTCGGCGGTTGCCGGGGCAGTCCTGCATCCGGGGGCGATCCGGGGAGCCTTCTATGTGAGATGAGGTCCGGTACAGTCTTTGGTCGGCGAAGTTGAGAGGACATCGCCGCGGTCGCCTCGCTGTGGCCGTGAAACGAAGACGATTTGTCACCTAACGTTCCTCTCCGGTGACTCTCAATCTGGCCGGTGCGGTTGTTTTTGGAGGTAGGCATTGGAAGTAATTAAACGGTGACCAAGAAAAAGAGGCTAGGTTGATGAGAGTAGAGAGAGAAACTGCGAGGTGTGATTGGGTCACCTCAATCGGCGGTAACGAACAAATCGAAGCCGCGGGAAGCCGACTTGTGAAGAAGAGCTTCGGCTCTGAATATGACGGCGACCGGAAGCTATCATAACCAGAAGGCAACAAGCGTAATCAGTGGCAGGACGAAGGAAGAAGAATGGTGGGTGTGATTGTTTCTGTGGGGGTAGATTTGCAGGTGCAGTGCCGATGTGTTGTGGGTGTGAAGTTGAGGATGAGTTTTATAAGGTCGAAGCGGGGCGGATTAGTGTGTAAGGAAGAAGCCTATTAAAGAGCGACGCGTGTTTAGAGAGAGCCGGTGGAACCTGGTGTACTTAATAACCGCCGCGAGGCGCTCGCCTCCTCCCCAATCATCAGTAATCAACAACTTTTTACTTGGTTTTTTTGGCCAAAAAAATGACCTTTTTGTTTCGGGTCAAAATATAGAGTAATTCTATTCCCCAAAATCGCTGGGAAAAAAAATCTATTTCCCAAAAAAAAATTAATTGAGTAATTAATAATTATAAACTTGTCATTTAAATAAATAATAAACAATGACTCTTGTTAATTAATTATTTTTAGATAGCATCGCACGGGTCACGTACCGCAGTTTTTTTTTAGGAGATGCCATAATCCATGAAATTTGAATAATCGATCCACTTTCTACCCCAAAAAAATCCATCCACTTAATCAGTAATTAATAACTAATAATATTTGCTGTTGTTGAAGGAAGGGCGATATTCAATTTCTTTATCTTATTTAAGAACACACGCCCATAAAATTTCAGTCAGTTTCGATCCAGACGAATTACCAGAGGTGTGAAAGAACTGTGCATCTAATATTCCATTTTAAATAATAAACATGGAAGGACGCCAAATCATCTAACCAGGATTAATTTGAATATACGTGTGATATAGTAAAAGTTATGAAGAATAGGCTTATCCTGAGAATATAATGGAAAGCAACGAAAGGGATGGGGAAGAAAAATAATTGGGGGGGGGGGGGTTATGGCAGTGGGTGTTTGGGAAATGGAAAGTCACAGACAGGAGAGGAAGAGACAAAACTGGGGGAAGGAGGGGGAGGGTAAGAGGATAAGTAAGGGTCTCTGTTTAAGTTGGAAGTATGCGTGAGAGAATGATGTAATGGAGAGCCTAAATTATTGGCTGCGTTTCAGCCAAATTATGATTATTACTGCGCCCATCACAAACAGGGATGCTATTTTAGCCCTATATATCAGTGTTCCTGATTCCTGACCGCCCCCCAATCAAGTTCGTCTCATCATCATCGTCAGAAAATGACGCTATTTTAAGGACACAAGCATTCTAACAATGACCCATCTACAGGATATGGTCCTAAAAACATTCTATAAAAGGGGAGGGTGATCTTAATTGCCAAGTATATCATTATGGGTCGGTGATTAATAAAGTACATGCGATTAAGTAACAATATGTTGGATTAATTGTTAGGAATATGACCGGGGAGGGGGGGGGTTTAATTTGGGAGGTAGCAGGGAAGGCTTCAACTGCAGAGTGGGCTCTGGCTCAGTCCAAACGGGTACTCTGTTTTTGCCATTTTCCCGTCTTCTCTTTTTCATCATTGCTTTCATGTGTCCCCCTCGTTCTTAGGATGACGCCAACTTGATCGGCCTCCCTCCCTGCCCTACCCCTTCATCTTTTCTTATTTCCACTTCCCATTTCTACATGTTTACCCTTCTTTTTTTTTTTTTTTTTGCTTTTAAACTATGCATGCATGTAGTTAAAGCACTTCTCAAATTATAAATTTTGTGGGGTTGGGGATCCCACACAGCTTTGCTACTTGTTTATGTGGGGATCATGCCCAATACATATATCACTCCCGCCTGTTTTATTTATAACACCATATTGATCACCACTAGTTTTTAACATATACTTGCTCCTGTCCTTGTTACAGAGCGTCTTTAAGAAGAATTTTAATAAAACACTTGTAAATCATTTAAAAAGAAATGCTCTGGTCTCTTTTTGTTCATCCATCCTCTCCCCCCCCCCCAAATAACCCAATAAACCACATCAATCAAAGTTTGAAAATTTGTTAAAAAAAAATTACATTTAACTAGTTCTGACTGCTTTTTCTTAATGCCTTGTGATAAAAGGACCTGATACATGGTAAATATTTAAGGGTGGATGGCAGAGCAGAATATTAATGCAAAATGCAATATTCACCGCTTGATTATTGGTGAGGACGGACCCTTTTTGCCGGCGGGGTATGAGTAGTCACCTCTGTGTTCTGGTGGTCTTATGTGTGCTGTGCATCTAATTCGGTCTACTTCCCTTTCAACCTCCTCAGTTTGTGTGTCCCACCCACGTTTCTGTTTAGCTTCAATTCTGGTTTCATTAACAAGACAGAGTTAATCAATCAAAGGTTAATTAAGCTCATCCATTTTTGTTACTATCGGTTTTTAATATAAAAACTAGTTCACTAATATGAGTATATTCAAAAAATTAATTAAATTAGTTATTTTTAATAAATATGTGTTATTTTTTTTATAAATATCCTTGTTAATCAACTATATTAGCTAGAATTACCATTTGATGAAATTTTAACACGTGCAAATGTGCAGCTATTACAAAAATTTAAAAAAAATAAATATGAGAGACAAAGTAGATTAGAATCTTATATTTAGAATCAAGGATGTTCAGGGTGAAAATCAAACCATAATTTTAAAAATAATTTTACAATATATAAAATAAATATGTAAGAAGAATTTTATCTCCAATTGTATGAAAGTGCTTTTAAAAAGGACTTTCAAGGGAACCTAAGGTATCATTTGGTATAAGGAAAATGGAGAAGAGGGAAGGGAAAGAAAAATTTTAATGAGCTTTACTTAAAAAACTAGAGAAGTGGGGTTCTGAAATGTTAATAAAGAGAAGAAGTAATATAAAAGAGTAATAAAAATTAATTAAAAGTTTTTAACCCCACTTTTTAAATTTTTTAAATCAAGCTTATTAAAAATTTTTCTCCCCTCCTCTTTCTGTTTTTTTATCTTCTCTCATACCAAATAAATCCTAAACATTCTCAAATTAAAAATCAAATGAGCTGTTACAGACGAGGCAATACAATGAAACAAAGAAATTTTGAAAAATCCTTAGATGCACTATGTGGTCCAAGCCAACTCGCATGGCAATTTACAATACAGTTGATGAGCCGACTTTAAACATACACGGCATAGATAGGGTTGGCTGTATACCTTCCGCCAATACAGACCAACTCTAACGTTGCCCTGTTTGTTCATTCCTTGCGTGGCTAACTTATATACTATCTCTCTATTTCTAATCCTAATTATAAGAACTAGTTGACTAATTTGAGAAAATCAAGGAAGTAAATTAAGTTAGTTATTTGTCCTAAATAGGTGTTGTCTTTCCTAAAATATCCTTGCTAAACAAGTGTATTGACTATAATTATCATTGTTAGAATAACTACTTTGAAAAAAAATATAAATATAAAAAATAAAATGAATTGGGGTCTTATATTTATAACCAAAACAAAAATAAAATAGGGTTTTATATTAAGGACCGGAGGTAGTATTTGTAAACGCATTCTGGGCACAGAGAAATTTTTTTTTTCAATTTGTCCAGTTAGATTTTCTCCTGAAAAACTATACAATATAGTATCAATAGACATTGATTTTATTGAAAGGAGTTGACTACTTTTTACAGGAGTTTTGACTACTTAAATGCAATATTTAGCGTCCGAGTCCGTGTAATACACAAAAAAAGCCTTTAACAGAACTGCTCTTTATTAAATTCAACAATACTTGAATCTAAATCAATCAAATATTCACATACCCAAAAAAACTGCAGGATATAATGCCTGGTCATAGCAGTGTCTTGCTTTTCTATAATTCACCTGGGGACAGACAAGCGTGTATGAACCTTGTTGCCACTTAGCATCAAACTCCCACACGCATTTAACATTTGCGTTAAACCATGGCCAGAATTTATGGCCAAATAAAAAAGAACCGAAGACAGGATCTCTGTCAACTTTCGTCAAGCTTTGAATACCCAAAACTTATTGCCTGGCATTATCAAATATTACCTCTGATTTTATTTATAAAATCTCTACAAATAAGATCTTAAAATTAAGATTGGAGGTAGTATCAATCTGCATTCCAGCTTCTTATAGCGACATATTTTGACTACTTCTAAGTTTAGTATTAAAGGCATAGACTTTTCTTATCAAGAAAATATAGAGACGTCTTCTTTTTTTTTTGGTATTATATGTAGAAAATTCTTATTTTTACTAAAAACAAACTATCTCGCGCTCCATTGAAGTATTGACTTGAAGCCCAAAATTAAATTATGTGATCAAAGGCACATTTAAGCTACTTTAGTTAATATTCCATCCATTTCTTCAAAAACCCAAATTCTCATTTTTCATTTTCATTCTTTTTAGTTCTATCAAAATAATTTCAGCGAATCAAATGGGTCTTAAGGATCTAGAGAACGTGACAAAATCATGTCCGCAATTTTAGATATGTTAAATCACATGTTTTGTCACATAATCTTATTATATGATTCTATAATTAGATCTTACATTATACTCACATTATTTGGTCCATGATAATTAATAATGACTTTTCACTGAAACACCTTGACAACCTCCCAAAACCTTTGTTTCTTAATGTTCACAACTTCAGAAAATAGTAAATTATTCAAGTTCTTTTTCAGAGGTCCAAAAGAAGTAAAAATGTGGATGCTTCGTCTAGATCTCCACGAAACATGGTTTGTCTTTCTGTTTTAGTAGTAAAGAAGCAAATGGGATTCCTTGAGTAAAACGGATGGTGAATTTATAAAAGCAGATTAAGATTCGACAATTTTATTGGACACATACTATGATTGGAGATGTTTGGGAGGTAAGGTTGCGTCTTTCTTGACGGTCGCGTGAAACAAATAAGCAGCCAAACTTCCTTAAAACAGATCACTGTGAAAGACCATACGAAAGAGGAATACGCGTCGCCATTGTTAAATATTTCGAGTTAAAAATCAGAATTAATTCCTAAAATCAATTTGAATGATAAGTGAATACGATGAAACCATGTAGACAAACAAGAAGGATTATGTCTTATTCAAGTGGTCCGGCTGATGAACGCTTCATGAATGAGACAACATGGTAGGGACAGATGGATCACATCAATTCATCAGTGACACACTCAGCTAAATAATTGGAAAAATCTTTAAAAAAT